GCCCCCGCCCGCCGCCCTCTGCTGCCGGCCGGAGCGGGATCTGGGGCCCGGGCACGTGGCCCGCGGGGAGCCCCGGCGGCACAGGAGCCCTGATGGAGAGGCCTGCACTGCGCAGAGGGAGTCTCCTCAAACCCATCGCTCACTGTGGTTTTGGTTTCCATAGTGACACTTCCTGTGGTAGCGAAAAGAGGTAGTGAGGAGCAGAGCGCAGTGCTCCTGGCAGGCAGCGCGCTCACAATGGCCGCGTGGTGAGTGACTGCCCTGCCCTGCCCTGCCCTGCCAGTGCTGCCCCAGCGGCTTTCGAGGTAGGAGCCAGGGCGCTGCGTGCAGCTCTGCTCAGCCTGGGGCCTGGCTCCCCGGGGCTGCGATGCCCCCTCTCCTCTGCTCCTCGCTGGTGGCAGGGGTTCCTTGGCCCCGGCTGCTGCAGGCTGCTCCCCACTGCAGGGCCCTGCTCCCCCGGGCCTGGGGGGGATGCTGGAGGGAACTTAATGGGGGGGCTGGCTATGGCGTGGCTCTGGCCCCAAGGCTGCAGTTGCTCCCCTACCCCCTCCCTCCTGGCAGCTGGGCTGTAGGAAAGGCTTCAGGGTAGTGCCAAGGGGATGCGTGCCTCGGAGAGATGCTGGCTGCTGAGACTGGCCCACTTGGGTCGGAAGTGGCAGCGGCAGTGTGAGCCAGCTCCTGCAGCTGATGGCAGGGCTGCAGCGCCGGGTGCGGGGTGCCTGGCAACGCCGGGAGCGTGCGGAGTGCGGCCCGGAGTGGCGCAGGTGTGGGAGGGGCGTGGGCTGGCAGAGATGCACAGTGGCACGGCAGGCGGGGGCGGGAGCCAGCACTGGGCTTGTTGGGGGGCTGCAGCTGGTGCTGTGGGGTATGGCTGTGCTGGTGGCCAGGCCGGGACAGCAGGGCCCAGACCTGCAGCAGCTGGATCCAAAAAGCCGAGGTGTGCCACAAAGCTGGAAAGGTCCCAGCCTCCAGCTTGGGGGGGCCTGGCCTGGCACCTGCCCTGGGTGCATGCTCGGTCTGGCTGTCAGCAGCCCCTGGGATGCCCCTCTGCAAGCTGCCCACGCGCCCAGAGCCCTGCCTTGCCCTGGGACAGCCACCCAGCACCCCTGGGATGCCCCCTATGTGCCAGGGCTGAGAGTGCTGCCCACCTGGCTGGGGCAACCGGTCACGGTCAGCCCCATAGCTGGGCACCGTGTTCCCCTGTCCTGGCCCTGCCACCCCCTCCCCTGGCTGGGAGACTGGCAGGGCAGAGGGGCTGCCCCTGGGGAGGTGTTGGGCCCATCCCTGGGGTGAAGGCTTCTGCTCCTCCTCCCGTTTCCTGCCCTCCCTCCCCTTCCTGTGCCGCCTGGGAGTGGCTGCTCAAAGCATCCGCCCTTTCCCAATCGCTGCTGCCATCTGCCCACAGGGCCACGCCACAGGCAGTGCTCACCCCGTGGCCCGGGGCAGCCTGCCAGCGGGCACCTGCCTGGCCCAGCCTGCTCTGCACCAGCCCCATGCCCCCCGATGTGCTGCAGGCCCCACCTGTGCCCCCCACATGCTGAGGCCTGCTGCCCCTTGGCCGGTGCCAGGAGGTGCCCGGCTGGTTGCCCCGGCTGCCTGTGCTGCAATGGCAGGGCCTGGCTGCCCTTTCTGACCTCCCCTCTCTGGTTTTGCAGGGCCTGGCCACGTCCGTTGGAGGTGAGTGTGACCAGCTGCAGAGCATGGCTCAAGGGCTGGCACTGCTCTGGGGAGCAGTCCTAGGAGGCTGTGCTGGTGCCAGCCTCTGCAATGTGGGCCCAGGCCAGGCCCCAGGAGCCCGCATGGAGCCTGCCACAGGCAGGCCCCAGGTTTCTGTAGTGCACGAGGGTCCCTCGTGGAGCTCCTGGCATATGCTGAGGCTCCAATTGGCTCCTGCCCCCAGTGCCCCCTGGGCTGGGGTCCTACCCCCACTGCTGCTGAGAGCTGAGCTCCTGGGCGGGTGGTGGTGGCTGCATCGTGCTCTGCCAGCTGCAAGGCTTTGGCCAGTGTTGCTGCCCACTCTGTGCCCACAGGTGCCTGAGACTGACGCAGCTCTGTGAGGCCCCTCCTGGCCCTGGCTCCCTGGCGCTCCTGGGCACTGTCCAGCGAGTCCCTGCACATCCCTGGGGGCTGGCAGGAGCCAGTCGGGTGCAGTGCTCAAGCAGCCAGTGCAGACAGGGGCATCAGCACAAGCTGCTGCAGACTCCAGCCCAGGCAGATGGGGGAGGGGGCCTGGCTGGATGGTGCCTGTCCCGGTGGTCCTCGGACACAGATGCCCTAGGCCGCAGGGAGGCTGCGGCACCCATGTGGCGCCCGGCTGGAGCTGACGTCTCTCTGTCTCAGAGCTAAACGCCTCCCGGGCCCAGGGCAGCAGTCAGAGCGTGAACAGCTTGCCCAGCTCCCCGAGCACCGCTCCAGGGCCCGTGGCCAGCTGGGCCGAATCCTTCGAGGCACTGCTGCAGGACCGCGTGGGCCTCGCCTACTTCACCGTGAGTGCTGGAAGCCCCCTTCCCTGCCACCTCCAGCCCCTGCTGCCACAGCAGGTCTCCCCTGTCACCACACCTGGCCCCTGCCCAGCTGCTGGGGCCTCTTCAGGCTGCTGCACCCAGTGCCTCCTCCCTCTCCCAGGCCCTGGCCACATGCTGTCTGGCATTGCAGGAGGGCAGCTGGCCCTGGGTTCAGCCTGAAGTCTGAGGCTGCTGGGCAGGATGAGCCCATCCTGTCCATGTCCCCTGGGAGGAGGGATCCTTGTGGTCTCATGGGCAGAGCCTGTGCAGCCAGTGCTCCACCCGGAGCCTCGCTGGGCATCGCCGGGTCCCTGCCAGGGGACTCGAGGGGCCTGCAGCCTGGCAGCCCTTCCAGCGTGGGAGCAGCTGCCCCCAGGCACCTGAGTTGGGCTCCGCGGCTGGGACTACAAGGTTCCCGGCTTCTGCTGGGCAAAGGGGCCGTCCTTGGAGCATGCAGCTTTAGCCAGATGTGAACCCCTGCCTGGGCTACCCTGGGGTCGGCAGCCTGTGGGCATTGTGCCCAGAGCCTGACCCCTCCCCAGGGCTGGGGCACAGGGTGCTTGGCTGCCATGTGCCTCTACCTGGGTGCCCCAGTGCCCAGCTCCCCCCATGGCTGGCATGTCCCCTCTTGCCCCAGGAGTTCCTGAAGAAGGAGTTCAGCGCTGAGAACGTCTACTTCTGGCAGGCGTGTGAGCGGTTCCAGCAGATCTCTGCCACCAATGCCCAGCAGGTACTAGGCATGGTGCAGCCCGCCTTGCCCCATGGCTGCCGGCACGGCTGCACCTCAGCCAGTGCTGGGGTCACTGTGCCCAGGGGCCTGGGCATTGTCAAAGTGCAGGAGAGCCCCCTGCTCATGGGCTGCCCCAGGCACAGCACCAAGGCTGGACTGTGGGAGGGCGACAACTCCAAGGGAGCTCGGGGCAGTATTGTGGGGCCACCGGGCCTGGCCTGGCGTGGCATGGCAGAAACGCTTGCAGAGCGGGACCATGGGTGTGGGGTGACCTGTGCCCCACGCACAGAGCAGGCATGTTGGGGGGACTCACCCGAGCTCCCCTGGCACCGGTAGCTGGCCCAGGATGCACGGCGCATCTACGATGAGTTCCTGTCCAGCCACGCCGTCAGCCCCGTCAACATCGACCGGCAGGCCTGGATCGGGGAGGATGTGCTGGCCACCCCCACCCCTGACATGTTCCAGCTCCAGCAGCTACAGGTGAGCGCAGCTCTGCCCGCCTGCTCCCCCGAGGCCTGGGGCACGGCTGCGCCCACCCAGACCCCCACTCTGGAGGCCTGTGCTGGGCCCTGCCATGTGGGGCTGTGCTGGGCTGTGGGCTGGGAGGACAGCCTTGCACCCCATGGCCTGGGCTGGCTGCCAGGGCGGATGCAGCCCTTCTGCCCAGGGGACTCACCGGCCTGCCTCTGGCTCAGATCTTCAACCTCATGAAGTTCGACAGCTACGCCCGCTTTGTCAAGTCCCCGCTGTATCAGGCCTGTGCCAAGGCCGAGAGCGGGGGGCTGCCTCTGCCCGACCTGCGGCCCCACCCGCGCAGCGGCAGGGCCCCCCCCGGCTGTATCAGGCCTGTGCCAGGCCAGAGGGGGGGGGCCTGCCTCTGCCCGACCTGCGGCCCCACCCGCGCAGCGGCAGCCCCCCGCTGGACCTCGGCAAGGTGAGCACCCAGCCCGGTCGGGGGGCAGGGCGGAGGGCAGCCCTGGTGCTGCAGGGCTGAGGCCAGTCCCGGTTTCTCCAGAAGACGAAGCTGAAGCCGGGCAAGTCGCTGCCGCTGGGTGTGGAGGCAGCAGGAAGCGGCGCTAGCGCGGCTCGGAGCCCCCGGCGCTCCTTCAGGAAGGGGGAGCGGAGAGAGCCCTCGTGGGCAGGTGAGCCCTGAGCTGGCGCTGACCCTGGCAGCACCGTGGCTGTGACCCCCTGGGGCCTCTTCCCCAGCCCAACATGTTGTGTCTGCTTCCTAGATGGGGGGGACGGCATGGGCCTGTGGCGCGAGTCCCAGGGCTCCCTCAACTCCTCTGCCAGCCTGGACCTGGGCTTCCTGTCCTCCTCCAGCACCAGCCTCCCCAGCTCGGGGCCCAGCTCCCGCCTGGAGGTGAGTGCCGTGGCCGCAGCCCCTGCCCATTCCCACCCACCCCTGCCAGCCTGCTCACCCCCTGCCCCACAGGGCCCCCGGCAGAGCCTGGGTGGGACTGAGCCAATGAAGTACTGCTGCGTGTACCTGCCTGATGGCACAGCCTCGCTGGCTGCTGTGCGGCCTGGCCTCTCTGTGCGCGACATGCTGGCTGGGATCTGTGAGAAGCGTGGCTTCCACCTGCCTGACATCAAGGTCTACCTGGTGGGCAACGAGCAGGTATGGTCGGCAGGGAGCTGGGCTCTGCACTGCCTGGCCTGGCCCGGCCCTGCACTTGCCCCAGCAGGGCTGCCCCTTGGGCGCAGTGAGGGGCTGTGACAGAGCTGGGGCATCCCCATGGCCATCCCGTGTGACACGGCCCTGCCGGGCTGGTCTCCCCAGAAGGCGCTGGCGCTGGACCAGGAGAGCTCGGTGCTATCAGACAAGGAGGTGAAGCTGGAGAACAGGATCAGCTTTGAGTGAGTGTGCTACTGGCCGGCTGTGACACCCTCCTGGCCCCACAGCCACCAGCCCCCTGCCCAGGCTGCTCCGGACACCGCAGGCTGGTTGAAGTTCACCTCTGCCCCATGCAGGCTGTGCCCTACCTGCCCCCAGCCTTGCTCCCTGCCCTCTCCCAGCAGCGTGCCCTCCCCCAGCCCCAGAGGAGGCCCCAGGAGCAGCTGGCTTCTCTGCATTGTCTCTGAGGGGCTGAGACAGCCCCTGCCCTGCTCCCTGAGTGCCCTCTGCCCTTGCCCCCACCGAGCCTGGGCAGTGCTTCCTCCAGCTCCTCTCTGCAGGCTGGAAATTGCCTCTGTGGGCAAGAGCGTGCGCATCATGGCGAAGGCAACCAAGAGCCTGCGGGAAGCACTACAGCCCATCTTGGGGAAGTACGGCCTGGCCATGGAGCCCATGAAGCTGCAGCAGGTGAGCCAGGCACTTGCTCCAGAGCAGCCATGGCCTGGCACCTGTGTGGGGCGGGGGGGGCTGCTGGCTGAGCACCCAGTGCAAGCCCTCTTGTTCGGGCATGCAGTGGGGGGTGGGGGGAGCCCAGGCCAGACACCCCATGCTGCTCGGCCTGCCTGTGCCAGCTGCATGTGCTGGGCTTGCTGCACAGTGGGCACCCATGAGCATGGCCCCTGCACAGGGGACTGCCTGCATCTGCAGCCTCATCCGCTCCCACAGCTTGCATCCCTATGCGGTGCCTGCCACATGAGCCCCACCCTGACTCCCTTCTCCCACTGCAGGAGGGTGAGCCCAACGCCTTGGACCTGGAGAGACCGGTCAGCACCGTGGCTGGCCAGAAGCTGATCTTGGAGGCCGGAGCAGGTACAGTTGGTGCGGGTGGGCCAGGGGGACATAAAACCCCTGCACAACACTAGGAGACTAGTGGCATCGATGCCTACACAGTCAGATGGGTCACTAGTTGGCTGGAGGGCCGCACCCAGAGAGTGGTGGTGGACGGGTCTTACTTGACCTGGAGGGATGTGGGCAGTGGGGTCCCCCAGGGCTCGATCTTCGGGCCCGCACTGTTCAACATCTTCATCAGCGACTTGGACGAGGGGGTGCAAAGCGCCCTGTTCAAATTTGCAGATGACACTGGGAGGTGGGCACGCTAGAGGGGAGGGACAAGCTGCAATCAGATCTAGACAGGTTACAGGGGTGGGCGGATGAGAACAGGATGGGTTTCAACACTGACAAGTGCAAGGTGCTGCACCGGGGGGGAAAAACCAGTGGCAGACCTACAGGCTGGGGAACTCCCTTCTCATCAGTGCAGAGGCAGAGAAGGAGCTTGGAGTCATTATTGATGCCAAAATGAACATGGGCCGACAGTGTGGGGACGTGGTCAGGAAGGCCAACCGCACCTTGTCGTGCATCCACAGATGCATCTCGAGCAGGTCCCAGGAGGTGATCCTCCCCCTCTATACGGCACTGGTCAGGCCGCAGCTGGAGTACTGCGTCCAGGTCTGGGCGCCGCATGTCAGGAGGGATGTGGACAGCATGGAGAGGCTCCAGAGGAGGGCCACCCGCATGATCAGGGGGCAGCAGGGCAGGCCCTACGAGGAGAGGCGACGGGACCCGAACCTGTTCAGCCTCCACAAGAGAAGGCTGAGGGGGGGATCTGGTGCCCATTTACAAACTAGTCAGAGGGGACCAGTAGGCTTTGGGGGAGTCCCTGTTCCCCCCAGCACTACCGGGAGTGACTAGAAATAGCGGTCACAAGCTGGCAGAAGGTAGACTCAGGCTAGACATCAGGAGGCGCTACTTCACTGTCAGGGCAGCTAGGATCTGGAACCAACTTCCACGGGAAGTGGTGCTGACTCCTACCCTGGGGGGCTTCACAAGGAAGCTGGATGAACACCTTGCTGAGGCGTTTGACCCCAGTACTCTTTCCTGACATGGCAGGGGCTTGGACTTGATGATCTGCTCAGGTCCCTTCTGACTTGACCAACTATGAAACGCAGTACCAGGGGTGGGCTCACTTTGGTGCTGGCCCCCGTGGGTCTCACTGCAGCAGGCAGACATCAGCATGGCACTGAGGCTGATCCCTACTGCCTGGGCCTTGTGCTGAGGCTGGAGGCTCTGGCCCCAGCGCTACTTTGCTTGTGTTGCAGGTGGGAAAGCTGCAGGCACTAGTCACGCCTCTGCATCCTCTTCCCCCCTTGGGAGTGAGGTGAGTACAGGTTGGGGGCAGGGGCAGGAGCAAGCTGCTGCTCACCTTGTTCCAGCCGCGTGGGACGTGCAGGGTCGGTGGGGTCCCCGCAGCACAAGGCACCAGCGCAGGCAGGGATGGGGCGGCCACTGCTGGTCTGGCAGTTGGGCTGGGCAGGGAGGGGACGCTTGCCTGCTGATCCGGTGGCTCAGGCGTCCCTGCCCGCAGGAGAGCAGCCCCGGCGACGCGGAGGCGGAGCGGCTGCTGGAGGTGCCCGCGGGGCTCCCCCGCTCCCGGGCCACGGCCGCCAAAAACCTGAACCGGCGCACGTACGACCTGGAAGGTGGGCGGGGCGCGGGGCAGGGGTGCGGGCCCGGGG